CTCTTTCTCGTTCCTTTCGCCGTTCTTGTCTTATATCTTCTCTCTCACGAACCTTTTCCTCTTCGGATTCAGAATCAGAATCAGATTCGGATGCATTCAAAGTCGTCGAGGAAATGCCAGCTCTGATTAATTGTGGCAAAATTATGGTTAATACGATATTATTAAACTTATATCTGTTAGATGGAAAATTATTTACCTTTCTTCTCGAGCTTTTTGTGCTAGCATGCGCAACCGTCTTTCCTTCTCTTCTTTTTCTTTCTGAGCAAGTTTTTCTCTCATCAAAGCACGTTGTCGCACTTCTTCACGAGCATGTCTGTCAGCTGTGAAAAGTGCTTCAGATAATTTCGCAAAATTATCATTTATAGTGAGCTATTTATAAATTTAAACATAAAGCATAAGAATTAACAAAAAAGATAACAAATTACAAATTACTAATAATGAATTTTATTTTATTAAAAAAATTACTTCTTGTAATCCACGTCCGTCTGCGGCTAAACGTTTATCAAGTGGAATGGTGTATCCTTTTGCATTCTTCCAATTGGATATACACGGAGGAATGACCCATTCTTGTTGTTCCTTAGCTGATACCTTACGGGGAGGAGAATGTAATACAGGTGCCGGTGGTGATGGTGGGCCTGATTTTTAAAGAAAAATTAATCGTCAAATTACATAAATCCTAAGCTGTTCAGAAGATATTCAGAAAATATTTAAAAGATATTTCAAATATAAATGACTCTTACTTACCACGCGGGATTTTTTTGTGCTTGAATTTTGGAGGTTCCATTGGATCAACAGGCATTTCTACCATCCTAATAATTCTCTGTGTTGCACCTGAATTATAAGCTTCGCCTTGCTGTCCAGGAGTATACCGTATATATGTTGGTTCTAATGGCTTATCATTTTTAACATTTTTTGGTTGTGCAGCCTTGATTTTTCCTTTAAGGAGGAAAAAAAAAAGAAAAAAGATCAGTAATCAACATGTTTGTTGAACAAATAAAGAAATGATTAATACCTTGTACTATCTTTTCCAATGCTTCTCTCGTCTTTTCAGTTGTTTCTTTTACCTCATCTTCACTAGGCCTATCCAAAGTTATTTGTTCAATGTCAGATCTTTGATTAACTGGAACCAAATCTTTGAATTGTGAATGAACAATTCGAGATTCGGTATGACCTTGTCTTGCAATAGCATCATATCTAATATTGCCTTCTGCATCGACTTGTAATGTAAGGGCTCCACCACTTGTGCCCTAAGAACAAATTAAATGGTTTTAGACTTATGAAAAAACCTTTTCGTTGTGCGATCTGAATACTTACAGTTTTACTACGGCCCATCTCCAAAGGATATTGGGCTATATGAATTTCAGGAAACGCACCACCGTCTCCAAAATCATCTAAACTTTTTGGTTTCCATCCTACCCGTTTACCGTATGGAGGTGGCAGTTCTTTTTGTTTTGTAACAGTGAGTTCATCGAATTTGCGTTCAAATTGATTCTGTTGTTCTGAATTTAATAATTGACGTCTTGGTTTTGGAAGAACACTAAAAATGAAAAGATTTAGAGCGACTTCTTAACTATGAAAACGAGGTTTATCAAAAGATCTAGAAAATATATAAATCTAAATACCCTGCTAGTGTGGCCATTATTGAAATCGAATTTTAATATTATAATACTGTAAAATAATAGATTCTAAGAAAAATCGCGGTTTAAACAAAAATAAAATAAAATCAGGCCAGCTTTAATAAATTATTGATAAATCACATGTTTAATTTTAAGTCTATTCTGATTGGAAATCCGACTCAAGCAGGCTATTACAAATGATATATAATAGTCAAATAACTTTTCCAGAATCACTTCAAACTTTTGCTAAAGAGAGGACAATTTAATCGCTTAAAAATATTATAAATTCTTGTTTTAACAACCTTAACAAAAATATAAGACATGTCAACCGAAGCACGTCGCCGACTCATGCGTGATTTTAAGCGCCTTCAAAATGACCCACCAGGTGGTATCTCTGGCGCACCTTGCCCTGATAATATTTTACTATGGAATGCAGTCATCTTTGGTCCTGGTAAGTTACTTATTGAACTTGGATTTCTACTTGTTTCGGATTCATTTTTTGAGGTCAACGATCAACTTGTTAAGCATTTATGCAATAGTGTCGCAATTGATCTTTTTAGACTATGTTCGTAACTCCGTTCGTTTTAAAGAAAGTTCATTAGATATATAACAAGTTTTGTCATGAAACAAAAGCAAAGATCCATTAATATTTATGGATCGTATGTTGTAAAGATACTATTTTGAAACATTTAATTTATTTATTAATATTATTATGTTGAACACCTTACAATTATAGCTGACACGCCGTTTGAAGATGGAACTTTTAAATTGGCTCTACAATTTGACGAAAATTATCCCAACAAACCACCATCTGTCAAATTCATTTCCAAAATGTTTCATCCAAACGTATATGCTAATGGCGAGCTGTGTCTTGATATTTTACAAAATAGGTGGTCTCCAACATATGATGTTGCAGCTATCTTGACAAGTATCCAAAGTTTGCTTCATGATCCAAATCCAAATTCACCCGCAAATGCTGAAGCCGCAAATTTGTACAGGGAGAATCGCAAAGAGTATACAAGAAGAGTAAGAGAAGTAGTTGAAAGTTCTTGGGAATAATGATCCTGGCCAATAATGAAAAGAAAGAAAAAAATCGGCTAGCGCTAGTTAGTTTTAAGATTAGCCGGTCGATCTTTTTTCGAAAATTCGGTCGATCGATTTTTATAACGATAATTCATATAATTACAAAAAGTTATTTTTTTTTGTATATATATATATATATATTGCAAATAGCAAGTAATAAATTGTTATAACAAACTTTTGATGAACCTTTAAAAGGAATCTTGCTTTTGGCAAACTTAATTAGATATAATTATATTTGTTATAGATTTGTCGGATTTTTTATATACAGATATATACTGTATATATGAATTGTACTTGTGCTTCGCACGTGAATAATTTTAGAGCTGTATTATTTCATTTAAATATAAAAATTCTATTAAATATAGATATAACGATATTCATTTTTTTTAGACTGTATTTAGAAAATTCTATTAAGTATACGTATAACAATACGTTTTTTTTTTATTATATAAATAGTAATTTGCCCCCAAACTTCATTCACTATTTATAGACGAGAATTAACCTACTTAAAAAATACATATTATATTTAATTACATAAAATTTGCCTCATTAGTTCAAAATTTTATTAAGTCTTAAAAGCTAAATTTTTTTTAGACGGTTTCAATTCTTGATTATATAAAAAAAAATGATTAAATAAAAAAGAATTAATTAATAGAACTTTAAAATAAAATAAAATATAATGAAAAATATATCTATAATTTTATATTTTATATAGAAATTAAATTAAAGCTGTTCTCAAGCATCTAAACCAATTGATCACGTAATGATCGTGATGACACTCATGCATCACAATTGATAGCAATATTTATAAAAAAAATTTCCTCTCAACTTCAGTTGCTTCGGCTTCGGCTTCTCCTTTAAATGACCTTACCAATTTAAATTTTTGTTGCAACAGCAACAGAATCAATTCATGGAGTCATTAGCGAAAGTTGCCTTACGGCAACAAGAAGTAATTTTTTTTTTTTTTTAACGTTATCGTTATTGTCCGGAGCGTAGCGGAGGACTCTGTTTTTACAACAAATGTGCCTTCTGCGACCTACGTTACACTACGAATCAGTATGTCACTATATATCACTTTATAAGTTTTGGTTTATTTTTAAATAGCTCTTTGCTACTACTGTATATAATAATCATCTATTGAAAAATTAATTTTAATAGTAGCTCCAGACTCACAATGCTGTGTATTTCCTAGTATTACTATATACATATTGTATGTACATATCTAAAATTTTTTAAATAGGCAATTTATAGTAACTCTGCTATTTTGGTTAAACAACCTGTTTCAACACTACTTCTGATACACCGATTAGTACTAATAAATTATCAAATTGTGGACATCATCTGAGATTCTGAAGAGGTTGAAAAGCATCAACAAATATTGCAAAAAGTAAAAGATCTATATGAAAAAAAAAGAAGGATCTCCTTTAGTATAGGTGGCCAATATAGAAATATAATAAGATTATAATATAAAAAAACTCTAACCCTAACTCTAGAGCTAACTATAAACTATACTATAACCTTACCCTAACCCTAACTAATCTCAAATTTGCTTAAATTTGCTCAAATACTATGTTTATACATATTATAATTATATAATATTTCTATAGTGGCCATTTCTACTAAAGATCAATCTAAGTTTATTATATCCACTTTTTTAAATCATACTGCTATACAAAAATATGAAAACAAAATAAGTATTAATTTTATTTTTTTTGGTTTGCTTTGCTTTATTTTATTTTATTTTGTAAGTGTATGAAAATTTATTAATTATTTAGCAACTTAGCAGTGAGTGATCTTAGCCATTGCTAATTGAAGCGATCTATTATGTTGATCGATTGTTACTAGGTGCTGTCACTTTTCAAATAAAGAAAATTGGAAAAGTTCAATAGAAGGGTTTTGAATGGAATCTCAATAAATTTGTTTGCAATTTGGCTAAATTTTTCGAAGAAACCACAAATTATTTCATTATTTTGTTAAGTCATTTTCCAATTTTGCTGTAGTGTTCTGTTGAATTTCTTTACAGTCAGTAGAAAGTTTCTCCATTGCTTCTTTATTTTAGGAAATACTAGCGTCATTTGTCAATTCTGAATTATTGTATTCATATTTAATATCAGATATTACAATAACATCTATGTTCAGCATTACTAATTAGCAAACTAGCACCTATTGAAATATTGTCAGGGTTAGTGATGGGTGATGCATGATGCAACTTGCGTCATTAACGCATAATGAAACCATTTCGTCAGGCAACTTTGAATTGACGAAATGACGCATGACACAACTTATAATGCATGACGTGACTCATGACGCAATTTACCATATAACCACAAAGTATCGCACAGAGGTGTTATTTTGAATTTTGGCCCGAATTAAGCTTAATTTAGGCCGAAATTGAAATCACACCCCTGCGTATTATTTCATGGTATACGGTATGACTAATGACGCAACTTAGGCCGTTTGAAGTTAATTTTTCAGTTAACATCACCCCTATTTGGCGTTCCCCAGTAAAATGAATATAAAAAAAGTAAAAATTAAAAATACTGTATAATCACAAAACAACACAGTTTCGAATTTCGGCCTAAATTAAGCTTAATTCAGGCCGAAATTCAAAATAACTCTCTATGCTTTATTTAGCAAATATAAAATAAAAAATAAGTCTAAAATAAAATAATTTAAAATAAAATAATTGTTGTGGCTAATGCTGAAATTTAGGGTCCCAATTTAAATCTATAATACCTACTAAAATTCACATATACTTTTTACTAATAACACTAACTCTAAACCCTAACCTA